GTTAGCTTTTTTTTCAGCTTAATCTACAGTAGGTAATATATCATTCAAGGGTTCATCTAAGTTCTCAAAGGTCCAAATAAGATGTACAGCCATGTAGCCGTATCTTTACTGTATGGCTGGATATAGATCTTGTGCTTCCAGACCTCACATAGGGACGGGGAGACTCTATTTGTAAGAGGTATGCAAGTAATCAAAAACATTAACTTGGTTTATAAATGGCTAATTGGTATATAATGTCAACATGTGATTTCAAAGAGATGCAGAGTACAGTTTTTTTGGACATGGGTCCAACTGATCAGTGTTGCCCATATTTTTGGGCTGATTCTTGCAGCTGATGGTTTTCTTCCTCCCAATAGAGGATAAAAATGACCCCTTGGTAACAAGTTTTAGCGGTCTCAACTGAAACAAAAGAAACATCTATAACCAAATCAAACAAAGCATCAACAGTTGAGTATTAATCCTGCTGCTGAGTTGCACTTAATGTCTCTGGGTGGGATTAACGTGGTTCCAGTGGAGCAGGTGGGTTTTGGACATTTAAAGCAGAAAAACTAATAACTATGTACCCATCTGCTGTTCAGAGCCGCCCGCTCAGGGTGGCCTTTTTAGGGGTGGTGGCGCCGCTGGAGGTGCAGCAGACGGTGTGTGTGTGTGTGGGTGGGGGTGCTTTAGGAGTCATTATATATAGAAATCAAGCTCTACGTTTGGTTGGACTTTGGTCGGGTCACCAAACTGGACTGCAGATTTGGGGTAACAATGGGAATGATGTCTGCAACTGAGATTTAATGTGCAGAATTCAAACTGTTTATATGGAGAAAACACACCTGAAGAACCTGCAAAATTAGCATCTTCCTGTAAAATTAGAAGAAGTAAAAACCTAAATGTTTTATAAAGCTGTGAACCTTTTTTCTTCTTCTTCTCTAGTTCTGTACATCAGCACCCAGAAGAGGAAGGTGTAACAGGATGAAGATTTATTCTACCTGCAGCCATGTTCAGAGAACTGTCTTTATTTTTTTCTGTGGTTCTTTAAAATGTTTTTTTTAAATGACGTAAATAAGTTGTGAATTTTATGTTTTCATTGTTATGATAAAAGGAATAAAGTTCTGTTGAATGAATTTGATGAAGTTTCTGTTCTTAGGCCCAACAGTAACATGAGCATTAGATGGTTTAAGCGATGGAGAAAAAAAAATCATGGTTATTCAATTATAGAAATAATCACCTAATTTGGTGATAGGAGTAATGCTACACAGATGTAAAATAGAACTCTACAAATATAACCTATATATGAATAACAAAAATAGATAAAATGTCGATTATTTGTATAGCTGGTGAGTGAAATTTGCATTTTTTCTTTTATTTGCAATTGTTTTTGTTCTGTATTCCAATTTTTGGAAAAGGATGCCTAAATTTTATATCAAATATCTTTATGTACCAAAATGTACCAAACAATGGTTAATATTTAGGAGTTTTTCCATTCCTCTTTGAATAACAAACTTATACGGAGCTTACAAGGTAAACAATACGAGATCCTGGTGTGTAAAATATGTATTAAAAAAATAGATTTAGGATTATTCTAAACATAATTTTTTCCCCCTTCCATTATAATGGAACCTGCTTTATTTAACACATTTATGAGCGCTGCCAATGAGTCCTACATTTATAATCTTCCTCAGTCATGGCCGGTTTTAGACAGGGGGGCCAGCAGAGGCTGGGGCCCCTGCTAGAATTTCAATATAAGTACAGTAGGTAAATTTTTCTTAAGTTTTCTCCCTTGATTAAGCAGGTTCGAGATAATTTACAGATGTTATAAGATGATTAAATCTTAAAATAAGAACAGCTACATGACCTGTTTCAAGTGGATGATATGACTATATGAACAAAAATCCTCTTTCGTCAGATCATCTCATTAACTTGCTCACTTCAAGATCTTTACACTTATTTTGAGGCATTTTTACCTTACCAATTTTTATACTAATTTTAAAATAAGTTTTTAAAGCATAATACATTTCTTATGATTTGCATTGACAGAAACCTTTAGTGATTTGTTCCTTGGAGTGACTACATTTAATTAAGTTTAAGAGTTATTTAGAAATGAGTCAAATTAAGGCTCCTGCCATATTAAGATACAATCAGTGTTTTCATCCCTTAGATCAGGAGTCTGCAACCTTGGATTTGTGGCTCAGTTAATGCACTAAACTCTTGCTATATTTATGTTTGTTCTTTAGTTCCCCATAGGAGCAAGCAGATCCATGAGAATCCTGTCGTTTTTCCCACTCTGTCTGGGCTGGATTACCCAGATTACGGTAATATTTCAGCCCTAATCTACCAGTTTTGTCTTTCACTCCTGTAGAAACCAAACCATTCGATTCTCTGCGAAAGATTCTCAACGTTTCAAGTTAAAAAAGCCTTTAACGTCAGGCCTGCTGTTGCTCCAGCAGAGCAATAATTTCACCTAAATCAGTCCTGCATGTTTATGGGAGCTGTGCGTGCAAGTGGGATGACTTCCAGTTCTGTAATCTGGAGTTAGAGTGAATTGTTATTCAGGTATCATGATGGAGTGAACCGGCATACTCAGTTTACCTGTTGCTCTTCTAATGCACCGTTACTGACAGATCCAATATGTACCTGTGACAGAAAACATTTCTCAGGCAGCCAGATGTATATTATTGAATAACAAAGAGGGCGACTGGTGGAGTAATCTATAAACGATGCCCCCTGCAGGCTGCATTAACATGTAAACGGATCTGTTAGATCGACCTCCTCTGCCCTCTGCTGCAGCCTTCAGAGGCTCGCTTCTCTGGACACACAGGCCGCCTTTTGTCTGCGCTGGTTCTGTTGGCTCGGTCGGGAATGGATGCACACTGGGTGCCTTCGACCTGTGAAAAAGAAAATCAATGCAGCAGTTGCATGCAAGGATTCATTTTAGCATTGGCCTCCTGGTTATTTAGCAAACAAGTTCAAAAGCAGCATCACCTCATTACAGCAGATGAACATGTTAGTAATATGTGATTCATTAGGTTGGTAATGAGAGCCACATTGTCGAAGCAGGGAGGAAAGTTCATTTCCTTCCAAGGGTGGATTTTTTTTCCTCTTCTTTTTTTGTGTCCTTTTTCAGAGCCTTGTTTTCCAACCTGTACATGCGCACTCTGGCCCCTGGAAGGAGACAAAAGGCTGCCAAGGTCAGGCCTGATTTGAGAATGAAGGACGCGTTATTGATCAAACTCCGCCAAGCTGCAGCTGTACAGAAAATGTTGTACACACACCGAGGCACTGAGTGATAGATCCACAGAAAGGAAGTGTGCGCTGCAACACACAAAGACCCATTATGGCACCCAGTGATGGCTTAGCACAGACAAATATTTACCCACTGGAATCATAATTGAGCTGCAGGCTGTGTGGCCTCAACAGGAACCAAATTATTATGATTCACTCAAATGACCCTGTGGTGGATATGCAATCCAATCACTTGCTTTTTTTGGGGAATTTAAAGTTTAGTTGTGGCTGTTTCTTCAGCCTGCTGCAGGATTTCTGCCTCCCTATGAATTTGAAATCATATCAAATCCTTTTTAATTAATTCAAAGGAATGATAATCAGTTTTTAAAAATGATTTGGGGATCTCTGTCTCCCCTCGCTTGTCGTAGGGACTTTAAAGTGAGTTCAGGTCTCTGCTCTGAGGAGGATGCTGCAGTGGTTCACTGCTGATGTTCGGAGGTGAGTGATGGAGCAGAGAGGACAAAAGAAGATAGAATAGGTGACAGCAGGAGGAAACCACTGCTCCAGGTCTTACAGCACCACCATCTGCCCGAGACCCAGAACTGCAGGAGGAAAGAGGCTATAAGGAGAGGAGGATATGACCCTGACTGATCACTGCAGCATGACTGTCTAGCCTCTTCACAACGGATCAAAGGATGACAAGGACAACTGGAGCTGGGTTTTATGTTGGTCTGTGACAGGTTCCCGTTTGGACAAGGACAAATATCTGTGTTCTTTTTAACGCAGAGCTATTCAGAGCTGATCTTTTCATTAAAAAAACTAATGCACGGATTTATATTCAATAATTAGTCTTCCTTCTTTTTAAAACTTTAATTAAACAGTGAAAAAATGTAACTTATTGCTACTGTGGTAAATTGTATAAAAATGTTAAAAATGAGTGAGAGACACTAACATGGCGGGGAATCGATGAAACGACAGAAACAGGATTTACCAGGAACCTCAGAGACCTGCAGACTCACTAAAGAAAAAGCTGAGTTTGATGATTTAGTTCAAAATGGAAAACTCAGTTTGGTGCACAGTGAGATCTTTTAATAACCTTTGGCTTGAAACGAATGAAAATATGACAAAAAAAGAATAAATGTTAAGATTTACACCATAGAAGTGGAATATAACTTTGCATAAAAGTTAAAAAAACAATCCACTGGGCTTTGTTTCCAAGTTTGAAGACATTTTGCTTCCCATCCAGGAAGCTTTTTCAATTCAAACTGGAAAATAACCAATTATTATGCGTAGCACAAGTCACAAAATATCCAGTTTGTATCCGTGTGTATTTAGGGAAAGTTGAGTGGAAGGTAAAATTTTGGGAAAGCAGCACGGCTGCTGCCATGAGAAGATTTTAAAGCAAAGCTGTTTAAGAGTTTGGGGAAAGATTAAAGAGTCTGAGCTCAAAAACAGCAAAGTATCCAGAACATGAGGGACAGCTGAAGCATTCCTGGTGTTGGAACGGCTCCAGAACCTCCTGGGATGACGAGAAATGGAACAGGGCTGATCTCCAGTGGTGCAAAGTGGTCAGATGTCCTTCAAGTTTGTGTTTCATTTGGAAACCAAAGTCCCAGAGTCTGCAGGAAGAGAGGATAGGCTCAGAACCAGTCTGCAGTTCTACAGTTGAAGTGCTGTGCCATCTGCTGGTTCTGCCTCTTTAGGTCCAAAGTCAGCTCAGAAGTCTAACAGGAATTTTAGACCGCTTGATCCTGGCACCGGCCCACATTTCTCAGAATTTTATCAAAATCTTAAATTTATATCACAATCACTGGCTGTGTCCAAGTTCGCCCTAACCCCTAAATCCCTCCATCACTACATAGAGCGGAGACTTTATGGTGAACTCAGTTAACCGACTGCTCAGACAGATGATCTCTCCTTTTCACTCCCAGTTGGTCACGTAACTCCGCCTCCCTGCACATTACCTGCGCCATCTTTATTTGTTGCCACTACAACAAACCCCATGATTCTGGGATATATCTGCTCTCTCTAGTGACCATGGATGAGGACTTTTTTTGAAGGTGCATTGCGGGAAATTTCAAGTCCACTACTTTTTCATCCACTAGACGTTTGAACATTCATTTAAAATGGCGTAACTCCTATATAGTGCTCCATAGAGTTAGGGTGGACGTTAAGACACAGCCCATATCTTACATCTAAATCATAATATATATATCTCTAATCCGATATCTAAATCCTATACAAATACATATATTTATGTAAATATATAAGATTAACATATAAATTTAGATATAATACTTAGATGGAGATTTTAACATTTATATGTTTTTTCCTCTAACTGTTAGAACAAGGTTCTACATGTAAGGGAAATAACATAAATTTAAATTTTCACTTTTTGCACCCCATACCTGGATGAGCTTGTTTACCAAATCTAAGCCATGTTCATCACAACTATGAAAAATAAATGCTGTAAATTCACCCTTCAATTTTTTTACTATATCTGAGTTTGTCTTTGGAATGAAGCTGCTGCAGTGAATGAGGGTATTTGTTTGTCTTTGCATGCGTGCAGCTTTAACCTCTGCCTGACAGCCTGTCATGTGTTCAGGACGGAAACCGCGGCCGTGACCGGCCTCACACTCTGTGCCTTTGCTTTCACATCCTGCAGTCTGGGTCAGAGGTCCTGCTGGGTTTCAGGGAGACAAACAAACACCTTAGGAACGGTGTGGCTGTTAAAGCAATTAACTTATTTCTATTTTCAGTTGATTGAATCACCATCAGGCTGGATCTGGAACTAAAAGAGGGAAAAAGCCGTCTTTTGTTCATTTTCATCCCCGTATTACTTGCTGTCCTTCCGTATTTCCCAGAAGCCTCAATCCAAGCTCAAGTCAGATGGTTGTTTTGA